TATAAATACCGCCACCTGTGAGGAAAATCTTCCCTCCGAAATATTGCGGACAGGTATGGGTTTTTGAATGTTATACCCGCCGTCTGTGTCGGAAAAAAGGTATGAAACTGATGTGAATTGATTTGGTGAATGGAAAGTTGAATGCGCTTTTTATGGTCACCGGTCTTTTTACGAGGAAATACCTCTAAATTCTATCGGGAGAATTTAAAAATGTCACAACTGAATTGGGCAGTTGAAATTTAAACATTTTGGTAATAAATGTAAGACTGTGAATTAAAATTTCATATTTGAACATGATCACAGAACAATGTTTTTAGTATGATTATAATGTTGTAAAGAGAGAAGGTAAAAACCCTGTATTAGTTTGGACCTATTTTTCTTCAAATAAACTGAATCCCACCAGTTGGATTGGGATAATTTAAAAGACACCTGTGCCCTCCTCTCCTGCTTCAAAGGTAAGATTGCACCCTGCCACACACACTTAGGTAGGAGCACACTCCATTTACTGATATCAAAATCCTTCGGGATCGCTTAAACAGATTAAAAAAGAGTTGTCTGAATTGAAACAGCAGTTCATTGAACCTAGGTTCTTCGGGAAGTTAATAGAGGTGAGATCTTGCTGACGTTGGTGGATCTGAGCCAAGCAGCAAACTTACATAGACTCAATAACTTCGGAAAGGTCAATTAGGAGGTCAGAGTGATTTACCGGAATAAATTATCAGGACCTCTCCGACTCTAAACAGCCTATACTGGCTAGCCTCTGCTTTAAGATGCGATGATCGACGGTGTCAAACGCTTTGGAAAGGTCAATAAACAGAGCTGCACAACTCTGCTTATTATCTAAAATACTCGTAATGTCATTCACCACTTTCATTGTCGCAGTGATGGTGCTGTGTCTCTTTCTGAATCCTGACTGATGTCTAGACAGGATATCATTTATACATAAAAACTCCTTTACTTGTTCACTCACAAGTCGTTCGAGCACCTTAGCCAGAACTGACAATTTGGAGATTGGCCTAAAGTTATTTAAAATAGTTGCCTCCCCTCCTTTTAGTAAAGGCAAGACATAAGCAGACTTCCATACTTTTGGAATTGTGTTAGTGCTGAGGGAGAGGTTAAAAAGAGAAGTAAGAGGTGGAGCAATAAAATCTGCAGCTAACTTTAAAAAGAAAGGTTCTAAGTTGTCCGGGCCAGCCGGTTTCCTAGGATCTAACTTGGATAATGCTTCACGAACAACACCAATAGTTAAAGGAGTAAAACTGAAATGGTTTTCCAGACCACATTGTTCAGAGTCAAGGATTGGAGCGTTCACAGAAGCAGAGTTAGTGACAGAATCAAACAGAGAGCCACAAGACACAAAATGCTTATTAAAGCAATTTAGCATAGTAGCCCTGTCTGATATAATGCCAGATGCTGTGGTGAGGCACGGAGGTAGCTCATTACGGATATCACCAGTGGAAATCGATTTTATGGCTTTCCAACATTTCCTAGGATTATTCAGGTTTTCTGTGGTAACTGACAAATAGTACTTTGATTTAGCACTTTTTATTTGAGATGTGAAGCTATTCCTTAGCTGCCTAAAGCGTAGCCACTCTACCTCTGAGCCTGATTTATAGCCTTAGCCCAAGCATTATTTCTCTCATGAAGTAGACTGGACAGCTCAGCAGAAAACCAGGGATTGTTTCGTCCCTTCACTCTAAATTTACGCAGGGGTGCATGTCGATCAATAATTTCCATAAAACCAAGATCAAAATAAGACCATGCGGTTTCTACATCAGCACACAGATTGATTTTACCCCAATCAAAATCAAACAGATCATGTAAAAAACCCTGCTCCACAAAGTGTTTTTTATCTCTCTTTGTGATGATACGTGGTTTAACCTTTTGGACCTTAGTGTCCCTAATTGTGGCTACAACACAGTGATCGCTCACATCATTAGCAAATACTCCCACAGATGAACATTTCTTAAAATTAGATCAATTAAGGAGGATTTATTTGGGGACTTAATATTTGGGCGAATAGGACTGTCTATAATCTGGGTAAAATTAAAAGAGGTACACAGGTTTTTAAAATCCTCTGACACAGAAGTTAACCAGTCCCAATTAAAATCACCAAGCAGCACTATTTCCTTGTAGGAAAGTTGTGATAACAGTTTTGCCAATGACGATAAAGAGTCCTTGACAGCCGAGGGGGCCCTGTAGCAGCCCACCACCATGACCTGTTGACCCTTTGTTACCTCAATATTCACGGCTAAAAATTCTAGCTGTTTACTAACAGATTTGGAAACCATATTAGTTACACAAAACTTATTTTTCACATAAATGGCAACGCCACCACCTTTTTTAGGCCGGTCAGTACGATATACACTGTAACCATTTATGTAAATGTCAGAGGCCAAAATGGATTTATCTAGCCACGTCTCTGATAAGACAATGACATCAGCATCAGTCGAACTCGCCCAAATACGGACAAAATGTAATTTAGGTAACAGACTACGCACATTTAAATGAATTAAACCTAGCCCAGATCTAGATATAAAATCAGCAGGAGTAGCTATTTGACTAATACTGCTAGGTGGACCTGGATTTCGCTGTACATTTCCTGATAGTAACAACAATAAAAATACCAAGCACCTTTTCCTCTTAATCAACACACATTGTCAGCTGTTCTAGAGTCACCAGTAAACTTCGCGAAAGTGAGATTAGAGTTTAAAAAACAATTCTGAAGGACCATCGTGGCAGGCATGTGAGAAAGACAAACATTTTCCGAAATGAATATATATATAAGATATATTCTTAAGACTACGGTGATACCATTTATACATTTGCCTGTCCCACTGTTTTGGCCAAACTTGACCCACTCTACCATGCTGCACTGCGTTATATATCAAATACACCCTATAGGACTCATCCTTGCAAACTGTATAGCCTACCTGGATGGTCCTCACTTACTATGCGTAGGATGCAGCATTGGTTTTTATTAATGTATAAAGCCATTTTAGGTAAGCTTCCACTCTACATATGTGCCAGATTTGCCCCAGTTTGTGACTCTTACAACCTCTGAGGTTGTGACTCTTACAACCAAATCTGGCACATATGTAGAGTGGAAGCTTACCTAAAATGGCTTTATACATTAATAAAAACCAATGCTGCATCCTACGCATAGTAAGTGAGGACACAGTGCAACCAGCAATTGTTTGTGCAACACCTCCGAAACTGTACAGGGGATGTCCACTGCGGGCGGCAGAACATACCCGAATCCAGTAGATTTTTCAGGATGACTAGCGATCTTCTCCTGTCCAGCACAGCAGAAACACGACACCCGCCATTCTCCCAGTCCAGCACAACAGTATCCACGCTGTTCCCGGAGCAAGAACCAGGCAGGGAGGCAGCAGCGTAGCGACTCTCCAGGTTTCTCCGCAGTATCTCAGATCAGGCCTTCGCACCCGTAGAAGCAGAAACAGGCAGGAGCAGGCCTTCACACCGGAACCAAGACAGGTGGATGACACACCTCACCACCAGCTCGACTCTTTCCAAACCTCAGAGCTCTGTCTGTTTTGCCGTGGTATCCTGGCTGGCACCTGCGGGCCGCAGATGGGCGGAGTAGTTTCGGGCGACGAAGACTGCTGCTCCGGGGGCGAGTCAGGCGGGAGTAAGCTCGTTACTGTTTGTACCGCGTGTATATGCCGGTGCTTGTAACTCTGACGAATCAGAAAACAGGAAATAATAAAAGTGTACAACACTTGCAGAAGTCTCATTGGACTCTAGGACGCAGATTGTTAACCAATAAGTTATTTTCTGACATCCAGTTTGACAGAGTAAATAATGAATGTGTTACAAAGCAGATCCTGGTGTTAACACTCACCCTGTTGTCCTCCTCGTGTCGAGCTGTAAAATGGCGTCTGGCAGTCGGACTTCATACTTGGACTTTCACACCTTCACCTGTCTGCAGCTCCTCCGTCTGATTCATAACCAGCCTTATCAGCTGAAGCAGTTCACATACAGGGACTTTGTTCAGTGAGATAGAAAAAGACATGCAGCTAAAAACAAGCTCAACAAAGTTATCGAAAGGACACAACATCCACACATCAGCCTCCATAGGGTATAATTAAATCTGCTTTATATAACAAACAATGAACAGCGACTTAAATAAAAACATAAGGCTACATTTAACTAATTTACAAGTTGTGCCAAAATCAGGGCTGAAATTGAGATTTCACCTCTAGCAAGTGTTTCAGGAGGAAAAGTGTTTTAAATAGGGGCAGAGAAAAAGGAGAGAAGCAGGCTGCAGCACCTCACTGAAAAGTGTTTTAAATAGGAGGAAAGTGTGCAGGGAATGGATGCTCAAATTCGTGTTCATGCAGCCCCTAAATAATGGTAATAGCCTACTGATTAAAAATCATTTCTAGGGCAGAAAGTATTTTAAAAGTGAGAAAAACTATTTAAGTGCAGTTCCAAGATTACCCACAGGAGGGCTCCAGGGAGCGAATCACCCGACATGAGCACAGTGCATTAACAGTAGAAAATACGATAAATAAAAGCAAATCAATCTATTTAAAGTGCAGGGAGGCTCCGCACCAGACACAGGTACATTCCTACATCCCCACAATAGTGACACTGATGGTTTGAAGTCGTTTCTGTGGGGAAAAGAGTGCTAAAAGTCTGATAACAGTGTGGTTAAAGTCTGATTGTTTCAGAGACCCATAGTAATGATACAATAAACCATTTACATCTAAAAGCATTGATTACAATTCCTTTTTAAATGGGGAAAAGTGCAGATGAGGTATGTTTGGTATTTTGGGCAAAACACTTCAACCAACTGGAACAGAGTTAAACATGTGTATAAATAATGATTAGTTATAAATGACGATTTACAATAGGTTGTGAATTTTATTTCTATGAGATTGTTTCCTTTTAATATTTTTGAGTATTGTTTCTAGTGGGAACACTTTCCCGTTGCACATCGTTTTCTAGTTCCTGCATGTCATTTCCGCTTTCCCCTCACATTGAAGTGAGCACTCATATATCGATGTGAGCACTGCTGAGGGTAAGCTGTGCTAGGAATTGTGTTATAGTTCATTACAATTTTGTGTGGTAAACCGGCTATTTAAGTTTATGAAAGTAGTGTATGTAGTTAAGTGTCAATTTGGGTATATTATTAAACCGGTTTTGTTAAGTTTCCACCATAATAAATTGTATTTTTGAGTGATATCTACGGTGTGGTTTTGGCGGGAAATAGATGCGATCTGCGTAATTTTCTTTGTTTACATGTCAACACTTTCTGACTTTTCTTTCTTTTCTTTTGTAAAGATGTGCAACGCGGATGCAAAGAGAACATTATTTTTGTTCTCAGGTATGTTTGTATTTTGTAAGATTACTTAAAAATAAGATTTTCTTGGTAATTTAATAATTTCTCAATGTATAAATAAATACTAGAAGACATTGAAGTGAGCACTGCTGAGGATGTGCAATGCGGATGCAAAGAGAATATTATTTTTGTTCTCAGAATAAATGCCAGAAAAGACACCCAGATGCTTCGCTGTCGTTTCCTGACCGTTAACAGGTCACTTACGGTTGTGACCCGTTACACAACCCTGTATATGTATATATATATATATATATATTAGTGCTGTCAAAATTATCGCGTTAACGGCGGTAATTAATTTTTTGAATTAATTGCGTTAAAATATTTAACGCATTTAACGCATGTGCAGAATGGCCCGCCCCATACGTGCCACCAGTGGCAGCGCCAGGGTATGGCTGGGGTAGGCTACACCCATACCAAGAAATGGCTTAGCCCCACCATGAAAAATGATGTTAAAGAAAGCAAAATAAAGTCTGCCAACTCGCGCCGAGTAAATTGCACAGACAGCAGTTAGTAAGATTGATTTCAGCAGCCACGGTTTTGAAAACTTTTGTCACGTAGTGATCGTCTTCTCAATAGAACATCTTTGATAACGGCGTGGTGTTGTTGCAGGAAGTCCCGACGGAGAATACTTTTGCTGTAGTACGGGGTGCACATAACTGGTACGCAGGTTATGTGCGTAATCTGAAATGCGTACCGTCACTTGTGTCACAAAGCGCATTTGCGTACCGACGTACTTGTGAAGCTTTTCCAGAAGGCGGTTAGATCACCGGACGACAGAGTCGGTCTCCGTGTGCACAGACAGGGCTGCTGTTAACGTCGGTCTGTACAACGGAATTGTGCCAAAACTACGCCAACCGGCTGCGGAGGGAGACTCCCCCCCCTTCACAGGAGAACTGCGCTAAAACAGCTGATCACAACGTTCACACTCTGTGGTCACGAAGTACTCCACATAGTTCGAATGGTGATTAATCATGATTAATTCATTTTAAAGCTGTGATTAATCTGATTAAAAATTGTAATCGTTTGACAGCCCTAATATATATATATTAGGGCTGTCATTAACGGAAAAAAAAAAACCCGCCATTAATTATTTTAACGCGATTAACGCATGTGTATTTTTTGTCCTCGGCCGCCCCGTAGATTTCAGAGCGCATCGAGTTTAAAATACCATCTACAAGCTGATGCTGACAGCCCGCTCCTGCCGCCCGCTTGTGGCAGACCACACTTCCACGCTCACCGGCAGGGAGGGTGTGTGTATGTGTGGCCCGAGCGAGCGAGAGAGAGACCTTACGTGCATTGTTGTTGTTAGCATCTGGTGCTAGCTAGCTGCGCTAACGGATATGGAGCTGTTTAAATGAAAACAGAGGAGTGACATTTCGCCGACAACTGCGCCGAGCACTTGACTTTATGCAGGAAGCCAGACAGTGGGACATTATACGAGAAGTCAGCACACTCAGCACGGATAGTGCGCAACATGATTGCAGCTTCCAGGCAGCTCCCGTTTGAGCATATGCCTTGAGTTGCACATAGCTCCAACGAACACACACACACACACACAATTTGTATTGTATGAGAGGTTCCAGGTTGAATTAAGGCGAATATTTGTAATGTTCAGAGGTTGTTGTGTTTAATATTCATGAGAATATTTGCCATTGTTCAAATGATAATAAACATTAAACTGTGTGCGAAAAAGTACACGTCCCACTGTCCGGGACGTGTTATTTACAATATCGGACAAGTAGATCTTTCAATTGACTTGTCCGGCGGACAAGTGACGTTTTTCGCCCTGATTTATTGACAAATTATTGATAAATTCAGTTTACAAAAGGCAGAACTCATTCGCAAATTGTACATGTCCGCCATTGTTCGTTTAGAAATGTTAGTTTCGGTTCTGTTTGTCGATTCCTAAGGAAATGCATCTCGCCGCTTTCTGTACAGTTAGACGGGGGCGGGAAGTGTAGCACAGTGGCCCCGCGGACCGCAGCTCTCTCTCTCTATGCTCCGTATCAGCTGATCGCTGCACGGTGCAGCTCAGCGTCTCTCTCTCTTTCTACACACAGCGGATCCGCTGCCCGTTTAACAGCCTCATCTTTGTCAAACTTTCGTATGTTCTTTCTCTAACACGTAATGAAGGTTATTAAGCGTTTTAGCTCCTGTGTTGTTAATATTGACCGCCATTTCCTTTATGAAGTAAAGCAGCCTCCCTGTCTGTGTCCTCGCGCTGTTCTCACATCCCCGGACCCCCAGACTCGGAGGAGCACAGGGATGTCTCACGCCTAGACTACTGCAACTCCCTCCTGGCTGGTCTACCTGCATGTGCCATCCGACCTCTGCAGCTCATCCAGAATGCAGCGGCTCGTCTGGTCTTCAACCTTCCTAAATTCTCCCACACCACTCCGCTCCTCCGCTCCCTTCACTGGCTTCCGGTAACTGCTAGAATCCACTTCAAGACACTGGTACTTGCTTACCATGCTGCGAATGGATCTGGCCCTTCGTACATCCAGGACATGGTTAAACCGTACACCCCAGCGCGTGCACTATGCTCTGCATCAGCCAAACGACTCGTTGCGCCCTCGCTGCGAGGGGGACCCAAGTTCCCATCGGCGAAAACACGTGGGTTTGCTGTCCTGGCTCCAAGATGGTGGAATGAGCTCCCCATTGACATCAGGACAGCAGATAGCTTGCACATCTTCCGGCGCAAACTGAAAACTCATCTCTTTCGACTCCACTTCGAGCGTTAGAACTATTAACGAAGCACTTTTATAGGCAAGGCAAGGCAAGGCAAGGCAAGGCAAGTTTATTTATATAGCACTTTTCATCACAAGGCAATTCAAAGTGCTTTACAAAAAATGAAAGAGATTAAGAAAATGGCATTTAAAATCAGTCATTAAAAAGAAAAGCTAATAAAATAAACATTAAAAGAAAAAAGTACATGGATAAAAGTTACAGTGCAGTTTAAGATATGAATAGTTCAATTAAAAGCAGCGACAAAAAGAAAAGTCTTCAGCCTGGATTTAAAAGTAGTCAGAGTTGCAGCGGACCTGCAGGTTTCTGGGAGTTTGTTCCAGATATTTGGAGCATAATAACTGAACGCTGCTTCTCCATGTTTAGTTCTGACTCTGGGGACAGAAAGCTGACCAGTCCCTGAAGACCTGAGAGATCTGGATGGTTCATCATTTAGCAGGAGGTCAGAAATGTATTTTGGGCCTAAACCATTCAGTGCTTTATAAACCAGCAGCAGTATTTTGAAATCTATTCTTTGACACACAGGAAGCCAGTGTAAAGACTTCAGAACAGGAGTGATCCACTTTCTTAGTGTTAGTGAGGACTCGAGCAGCAGCGTTCTGAATCAGCTGCAGCTTCCTAATAGATTTTTTAGTGAGACCTGTGAAGACACCATTGCAGTAGTCGAGTCTACTGAAGATAAAAGCATGGACACGTTTTTCCAAATCCTGCTGTGACATTAGTCTTTTAATCCTAGATATATTCTTTAGGTGATAGTAGGCTGATTTAGTAACTATTTTAATGTGACTGTTGAAACTCAGGTCAGAGTCCATGACTACACCTAGATTTCTGGCTTTATCTGTTGTTTTGAACATTGCAGACTGAAGCTCAGCGCTAACTTTTATACGTTCTGACTTGGCTCCAAAAACCATTACCTCAGTTTTATCTTTGTTTAATTGGAGAAAGTTCTGACACATCCAGTCATTGATTTGTTCAATGCACTTACTCAGTGTTTGAATTGGAGCATAGTCTCCTGGTGAAATTGTCACGTAAATGTGTGTGTCATCTGCATAGCTATGGTAACTTATTTTGTTGTTCTTCATTATCTGAGCCAGTGGTAGCATGTAGATGTTAAAGAGAAGAGGCCCCAAGATGGAGCCTTGAGGAACCCCACGTCATATTTGTCAACTCAGATGTGTATTTACCTATAGAAACAAAGTTGTTTCTGTCCTTTAAGTAGGATTCAAACCAATTCAGAACTGTTTCCGAAAGTCCCACCCAGTTTTCCAGTTGGTCGAGTAATATGCTGTGGTCAACAGTGTCAAACGCAGCACTGAGATCTAATAATACTAACACTGAAGTTCTGCCACTGCCTGTGTTTAAGTGGATGTCATTGAAGACCTTTACAAGAGCAGTCTCAGTGCTGTGGTTTGGACGAAAGCCTGACTGGAACACATCAAAACAGTCATTTAAATGCAAGAAATTACTCAACTGTTGAAAGACTACTTTTTCAATGATTTTACCTAGAAATGGGAGGTTTGATATGGGCCTGTAATTGTTCATTACTGAAGCATCTAGATTATTCTTTTTTAAGAGCGGTTTAATGACTGCAGTTTTCAGGGCCTGTGGAAAAATACCTGAGTGAAGAGATTTGTTTACTATATGAAGTAGATCTGAGGCCATGCAAGGCAAAACATCTTTAAAAAATCCTGTTGGAATAATATCAAGGCAGCAAGAGGAGGATTTCAGAAGTTGAATAATGTCCTCTAGGTTTTTATCATTAATCTGATGGAATTGTGTCATGATGTATGAATTGATGTCTGAATTGATGTTAAGTGGAGATAGGGACAACACATTTGCTGTTCCTGATGCAGAGGCACTGACTGCTTGTCTGATTTTCTGAATGTTGTCAGTGAAGAAGAAGGCAAAATCATTGCACGCCCTGGTGGATAGAA